AGAGCCTTGAGGGACTGGAGCGTGGCCAGAGAAGGGCAATGGAGCTGCTGGGGAAGGGTCTAGAGCCCAAGTGTGGGGAGGAGCAGCTGAGGGAGCTGGGGGTGCTGAGCCTGGAGCAAAGGAGGCTCAGGGGAGACCTTCTGGCTCTGCACAGCTCCTGACAGGAGCCTGGAGCCAGGGGGGGTCGGGCTCTGCTCCCAAGGGACAAGGAACAGGACGAGAGGAAAGGGCCTCAAGTTACTCCAGGGGAGGTTGAGGTTGTCCCTGAGGAACAATTTCTGCCCCTGGAGGGTTGTCCAGGGCTGTGCCAGGCTGCCCAGGGCAGTGGTGGAGTCCCCACCCCTGGAGGGGTTCCCAAGCCATGTAGATGTGGTGTGAGGGACACAGGGCAGTGGGGACCTGGCAGTGCTGGGGTCAGGGCTGGACTCCATGATCTGAAAGGTCTCTTCCAACCAAAGTGATTCTATAAGTGACAGGTAACAGAGGTTATGTTTATTTGTTATGAATCTACAAACTAGAGGCAGTCCCAGATGAGGTGACCCACACCCACCTTCATGGAAACCTAGCATGAGCTGCTCTGTGTTGATGCCCAAGCCCAGCACTGAGCTAAGGGCCCACTCAGGATACATTCCACTGCTCCACTGTGCCCGGAGCGTTCGAGGGCTGCAGGAGCCCTCAAACATCTGCACATCACACAACAGAAACACACTGGATCCATCTTCACTACTCAAGTTCCTTCCTAGCTGCAGGAGAACTTCTTTCCACATTTGCCTTTTGCATTTGTCTGTTAATTATTATAATTATTACTCTGTTCACAGTCAGGACTATGCAACATTGGAGGAGAGTCCATCACAAGCTACCAGGCTCAAGATCTCACAGCTAAAGACACCCATTATAGGTATCAGTAGTTTTCCAGAATACAAAAAGTTATGACTTCTATGGCTACAGCCTTTTCCAGTTGCTCACTGAAGGACTGTTAAGGGAACTGAGTTTATTCTTCCTCTTGCACTGCCACCTGTATGAACTGCAGTTGCCTGTGGTCCTCTGGCTTCCCCTGAGAGGGGCTGACCATTTGGTGAAGAGATAGTTACTGCTCTTCAACACATCTGTACTTGTCATTTCAAGTACCAACCTCCCTAAAAACCCTAGAGACCCACACTGCACACCTCCAACAAGATGTCTGAAGTACAAAGACTTAAACAGGCCAATGGTTTGGGGTAACAGATTGAAGACTGTTCTCCCAGTTAAACCTAGACACGTTGCCTTTTGGAGGGGACCTTGGTGCTGAGTTGCATTCAGACATGTCCAAGTGTTGTACGAAACCAGTGCAGTCAGGAAATAACAACAGGAAAGCCTCCCCTTTAATTGTTTGGTGTTGACAAGTTGGTGGGTCCAAGACTCCTCCGGCAGGGATCAGTACACTTACCCAGCGTCCCTGATTCGCAATAATCCTGAGCTCCTTCCTGGAACACAAGACAGTGTCTTTATGACTCGGGAGCAGAAAGGGATCTGAGGATGGAACATCTATTTACAGGGACAGCCTAACGCTCGCTGAGCCACGGGAGGAACCAGCACTCCAGTCAGGGGCGTGTGCAACCCAAAATGCTTAAAGGCAAAACCGATCCCGTGGCAATCTGGTCACTGAGATGGGAAAAAGGCAAAAGCAAAGCACTGCTGCCTCCAGAATTAGTGCTGAGAAGACAAAATATTGCAGATAATATACACCAAGCTGGCTTGCTGTGGTGATCTGGGATATCGTCGTGTCTCATCTTTCCCAGAAAGCCCCTTTTTAAGAAAGCTTTGCTTTTCCTCAAAAAAAAAATTGTTACCCTTTGTGTAACCTTGTTTTCTTGTCCATAGAGGCAGAACATGAACCATCAGTGTTGGAAGGTATTATGAAAAGCACAGCGTTGGGTTTATTAACTACCTGAAAGCTGTCAGCAATGAGTCTACCTTGAGCAGCAACAAGCAGAAGGGAAACAGGGTCACTTATGCAAATCTACTTCATTATTTCTAGGCAGTTTCAGGTTCTCTCCCTGAACACCGACCCAACAGGGTGACACACATTTCATCATGACATAAAGCCTGACAAGCAATTTTTTCCTCTAAGCAAAGCATGATTGCTTCTGTGTTTAAATCCCTGTGTAACTAGAAATTAATGCTGGGTGATGTAAGCAGAGTCTGAAGGCTCATTTCCTGCAAAGCCTGACTGAAGTAAGAACATCAATTCCTTTAAAAATAATCAGGAGGACCAAGTGACCCCCAAATCCTTTCTACCCAAGAGAAGATTACACCATCCTGTGTGTCCCAAGACATTTTTCCTGCAGGTCACTCTACTTGCAACTCTGCTGTTGAGTCCTTTTATACCAATGAGGGGTGGCTGCTTTCCACAGGTTTGCTTCTTCTTCCACGACATCTCTAGATGCTAGAAAAACTCTCAGCCTTGCCAAACTCAGGGCATTAATCACCCCAGGGTTTTAAAGAGGAGTTGTCATAATCGTACTGCATCACCACACCGTAAGAATGTGACACAAACAGGTTCTTCCACCTCCTGGATAATTGCACTCCAGTTTCAGCCAGGCTGATGGAAAGCTTCAGGAGGAGCGCACGGCTATCGGGTGTCACGACTGTGCCCCCAGCTCCCTCAGAGCAGCCCCTTTTCCCACTGCCAAGTGAATAAATGAATCAACTCCTGCTCTAAATTCTATTCAACCACAGCTCATCACAGTCCTCCAACAGAAACTGCTCTGCCATGAGAATTATCCCTCAGTGAATCTACTCTGAGCTACTGTAACCTGTACTGAACACACAGGAGGGGGACAAAATAAAAATCAGAGTCTGTAAATGCCATATTCTTGGTTTTAAGCTGTTGCTTCACTGCTGTTTTGAAAGATCTAGTACTCTACAGCACATCCTCCAGAAGTCATCAGCATTTTAATGACTGTATTGTTAGAACTTATGGCTGGGAATATCCAAAACCCTCCTTTAAGCAATTCCATCTGTAGATGAGCACAACCCTGCTACCTGTGGTACATTTACATCTCAGTCAGCAGCTTCAAATGTCCAAACAGATCAGGGTAACACAGCCACTTCTACTATTAACTGTGCAGTATGAGGTATCATGTAGATACTATGGCACATCCCTACCTCAGGACCAAAGCCAGTTCCACACAGATCCCAAATTCATGTTCTCTTGGGAGTTACAGAATTTGGAGTGCTCCTTTTTTACCATTCCTTTGACCCAGCCCATGATTACTGTGTTTTCAGTAACTCTACAGAACACAGACTAAAGTATTACAAACTCACACACGTAACACCTCATCAGCCTCCAAAGTTTTACTACATTAAAAGCTGATGCAAACTGGGAGCCATCCACACTCCAAGGTATTCTTCCCAATTTAATAGCAGCCCAGTCCCATTTGTGGGTCATTCACAACTAGGATCCTTGATGCCAAATGTGTGTCGGGGTGTTTTTTTGTTGGTTTTGGGGTTTTTAAAACGTTTGGTGGGCATAAGAACCAGTGAGAGCACTCACTGTGTGACGTAACACATCTATTCCTGGGGCTAGAAGGAAAATACTCTGGGGAAATTCAAAGTCTGAAGCACAAACAAGACTGCTGCAATGAACTGAAAACTGCTGAGCTGTGCTATCAACACTCTACCTGCTTGTGGGCGTGATCGTACGAGTTGATGTGGTTGTCAAACTCTTGATGCTTTTGGTACTGCTTGTCACAGAGTTCACAGTAGAAGTTGGCTCTGAGGTCTTCCAAAGCCTTGGCAATTGCTTTCTCCTTATCAACGTAATCCTGCAAAATTAATAACAAAATGCTTCCATTAAACTTCCTGTAAAGCAAACTGGAAGGTGATGAGTGAGTCCTTTAAGGAAAAACAGCCCTCAAAAACCCCTTAGTGCAGGCTGATGATTATGTTCATTAGGCTGAGCAGTCTTTGCAGATCCAAAGGTGTGAAGGATAACTGTGCAACCAGCCCCAGCTCAAGCTTCCTGATGCAGAAAATTGTCATTAGCACAGGAGTCAGTGAAAGGAGACTGCTTAAAATAAAGGGATTGTGTGCTGAAGGCAGGAAGGCAGTTTTGTGGCTGCAAGAGGATTGTCTGAGATAACAAGAGAGGTTCCAAGCCTGAAGCTAACAGGTCAACAAACCGGCAGCTGCCCGCTCGCAGAGGACGCGCAGAACACGCCTCCAAGGAGGGAAGATCACTGCTGTGGAACAGAACTCAGGGCTCCAAACGCTGATCCCTCCTCCAGCTCCAGTGCTAAGGGCCGTCTGCTGGAGCTCGAAGGGAGGGCAGCAGAGCTGCAGCTGGGGGAGCTCTGTTAGACACACAGTGTGGCTGGGGAGGTGACACCGCCCAGGAGCGATGCTGTCCCCTCAGCGGAGCTCAGACAGCCACTGCACCACACGGAGCTGCCCTTCAGTGAGAGAGGGGGAGGAGATCACCTTAAGAGGTTGCAGGCAGTATTCTTTTTTCCTTACATGGAATCATCTTGGTTGGAAGAGA